AGCATGAGGATTCCGCTCAGAGCCACGAACTGCCACCCCGGCAGGGCTCCCCAGGCCCCACCACTCTGCTCCAGCTTCATCTGCTCCAGCTCCTGAATCAGCTGAGTCATCTGCTGCTCCAGATACTCAGCACGCTGCTGCATGCGCTCCAGGGTGGCCTCATCCAGCCCATCCCCGGCCTGCTGCGGGTACTGGGTGAGGCCTTGCACAAGCAAGAGAAGGAATGTAATGGCAAACATGGCCAAAAGCAGTGAGCAGGGCTTCAGTGGGGAAGGGAGGGAGCTACTGCTAGGGCAAGAGGGGACAGGAGCCCCAGGGATCTCAAGGCAGGACAGAGGGGGCCCGGAGGCTGGCAGCCTGCCAGGCCTGTGCCGCTGCCCCAGCACCGGCACAAAGGGTCTGGACAAAGGCCCTGCCACCAGAGACGGGCCTCTGGATGCACACTGAGAAGCCGCTCCCCAAATACTCGCGTTTCTGCCGTGGGCCTCTCTCCGCGTTCAGCACAGCCTCCTGTCTGCGTGGACACTCGCCGCTCGCCGAGGCTGCACTGGGGCAGCGTTACCTGCTGCTCCTCCTGGCAGCTGCCCCCATTGTCACACTGCGGCTGTGATGTCACACATGCCAGTGTGCATCCGGGCCAGGCCTACCCCGCCTTCCATCTCTACCGCACCTCTGGGAATCCTAATGGCCCCTGGCAAGCAAAGACCTGACATGCAAAAACAGCAGACCCGTGGGTCGCAATGGACACCCTTGCTCTTCCCTTCACAAAATATTTAGGAGGCCTCAAAGCCTTCCTAATCGCAAAATTGGTAACATGACCATGAATGCTTTGTTCCTGGAAGTCTTCTGCTCAGAGATAGAACTGCTTGCCTTGCTGCTGACATGTGTGCTTTTGGGGTCACTCTTGGAACCTGTGTGACGCCCCTGGGTGTGTACTGGTGAATGGCCTGGAAGTGACATGGGGCTTCCCCATAGCAGGATCTCACTTCCTGCTGTGCCACGGCCAGAGGACCTTGATTCCCTGGAGACGCTTCGTAAGGATGATGAGCAGCTGTGGGGGAGGTGATTTCCAGCAGGCAATTCTCACTGCCGACACAGCACAACAGCACAGCGTTCTGCATGTGCAACAAGTTCATTTCTGCAGTGCCAAAACCCAGCAGAGCATCTGGGATGGGCCCAACCTTCATTGTCACCCCAGTGAACACAAGGAGTCACAGCAGCGCTGGCTCATGTTTGGTGCCTGCCCAACCACAGCTGCCAGGCAGTTTCGGAGCCCAGGTGGGATGGCCAGCATGGACTGAGAAGGCAAGGACAACACAGGGCAAAATCATCTTTGAAGCCACCGTGGTCATCAGTGGCTGCTGCACCAGGAAGACAACCGAGAGGAGCAACACGAAGGGATTATTTTGTGTGTTTGTAAAAAAGGCTTGTTAATAACAGTGCCTGCTCCCACCCAATCACAAATTAACAACTAGTAGAATTTACAAATGCACTAGTTCTTCTCAAGTTCAAGAAGAGTCTGCACAATCCAGATACTGGAATAGCCCAGTTTATTGAAAAAAATCCAAAGAAGGATGGGGATTGCTGAAGGCACTAACTAGAGGGCATTAATATCTATATTAAGGCACTAACCACACTTTCCCTATACCTATGGTAAATTCAGTAACTACTGGGTGCTAATATCTACATAGTAAACACACTGCTTATGGGAGATTAATAAATATAGTAAGAGCATTAATTACTGAGTACTAATATATACTGCACTAACTGAATGCACTAACTACGGGAGGTTTATATATACAGGGTCTGTCAAGAGGCCCCACAGGCACAGCTCTGTGCACCAGGATCTCTTTCACTGGCTGTAGATCAGCAGTTGAGGCAATTGTGGTCCTGCACGGCCTTCCTGTGGGTATCTGGACTTCTGGCCAGGTGCTCAAGGACGTTGGGTGCTACAGCCACCTGGAAGCCGGAGGGCAAGCTGATCTCCGTAGGAAAGCTCGCATTGCCGATGACAAAGTGGTGAAGCTGTTTTATCTCCAGTGAGCAGCGGAGGGACTTCAGGATAGCCATCACTCGCTGCCCAAAATCACTCCTGCCCCACCCTGTCAGGGGTACAGTGCTCAGGAGGTGTGTCACCACTGTCATCAGGACACAGCTGGAGAAACCCACACCCATCAGGAAGCCCGTGAGGAGCTGCAGCCTGGGAGACCTGTCTGGAAATGTGCCTGAAGAATTTTGCCTCTGCCACGGCATAAGTCTCCAGCCACGTTGTGCTTGGGATGCCTACTTCTGTAGGCTGGCTGCTCACAAAGACATCTGAGTCTCCTTGCCGCACGGCAAAGAACATCTCAACCGTGAAGCTTTCCTTGTCTTTGCTCAGCTGAAATTTGCAGGAGCGGCTGGAGGGCTGCAACCTTAAACGCCAGTGGCACGATTCAGGCAACAGCAGCCAGGCGACTCTCACAAATCCATAGAACCAGTGGACAGTTTTCTCCACATCTAGACAGCAGCCAGTGCACAGGGTGTGCAGGAGGCTGGGGTCCTGTTTCCTTCTCAGCTCCTCCTCGGGGTGGTGGAGGAAACACAGCATGTCCTCCTCCAGCCTCTCCCTCCTGCAGGTGCACACCCGCTCCACACGGACACAGAAGTTCCTCTGGACCCCTCCTGCAGTGTCCAGCTCCAGGTGGAAGGCATGTCCTGGAGGGGGACTCAGGGGAACAAGCAAACGGTGCACAACGTCTTGTGCATGGGGACCGCAGCCTTCAAAGGCGCTGCCAATGCCCATGGCTGGTTGTGGCACCGGGTAGAAACTGTTGGACAAGCCTTCTCCAAAGACGTGGATGAGTTTGTCCACCAGGTCCGTGATCATGGAGAATCCTTTGTCTAGATCCAGAACAGGAAACTCCTCTATGCGCTCCTCTAAAAGGCTTCCAAGCTTCCTTTGCACATTGTTACCATCATCTTCTTCTCCATTTGCCATCTCCTGCTTGTCATCGACATTGCCCTTTTCCACATTTCCAACAACGTTCCGTCTTTCTTCCTCCTTCACCAAGTTGCTGCTGGACCTCTCCTTGTGGCCACCTTTGTCTCGATCACATCGACTTTTCCCATGCCCAAACAACAGCACCAAGAGAAGCATGAGGATTCCGCTCAGAGCCACGAACTGCCACCCAGGCAGGGCTCCCCAGGCCCCACCACTCTGCTCCAGCTTCATCTGCTCCAGCTCCTGAATCAGCTGAGTCATCTGCTGCTCCAGATACTCAGCACGCTGCTGCATGCGCTCCAGGGTGGCCTCATCCAGCCCATCCCCGGCCTGCTGCGGGTACTGGGTGAGGCCTTGCACAAGCAAGAGAAGGAATGTAATGGCAAACATGGCCAAAAGCAGTGAGCAGGGCTTCAGTGGGGAAGGGAGGGAGCTACTGCTAGGGCAAGAGGGGACAGGAGCCCCAGGGATCTCAAGGCAGGACAGAGGGGGCCCGGAGGCTGGCAGCCTGCCAGGCCTGTGCCGCTGCCCCAGCACCGGCACAAAGGGTCTGGACAAAGGCCCTGCCACCAGAGACGGGCCTCTGGATGCACACTGAGAAGCCGCTCCCCGAATACTCGCGTTTCTGCCGTGGGCCTCTCTCCGCGTTCAGCACAGCCTCCTGTCTGCGTGGACACTCGCCGCTCGCCGAGGCTGCACTGGGGCAGCGTTACCTGCTGCTCCTCCTGGCAGCTGCCCCCATTGTCACACTGCGGCTGTGATGTCACACATGCCAGTGTGCATCCGGGCCAGGCCTACCCCGCCTTCCATCTCTACCGCACCTCTGGGAATCCTAATGGCCCCTGGCAAGCAAAGACCTGACATGCAAAAACAGCAGTCCCATGGGTCGCAATGGACACCCTTGCTCTTCCCTTCACAAAATATTTAGGAGGCCTCAAAGCCTTCCTAATCGCAAAATTGGTAACATGACCATGAATGCTTTGTTCCTGGAAGTCTTCTGCTCAGAGATAGAACTGCTTGCCTTGCTGCTGACATGTGTGCTTTTGGGGTCACTCTTGGAACCTGTGTGACGCCCCTGGGTGTGTACTGGTGAATGGCCTGGAAGTGACATGGGGCTTCCCCATAGCAGGATCTCACTTCCTGCTGTGCCACGGCCAGAGGACCTTGATTCCCTGGAGACGCTTCGTAAGGATGATGAGCAGCTGTGGGGGAGGTGATTTCCAGCAGGCAATTCTCACTGCCGACACAGCACAATAGCACAGCGTTCTGCATGTGCAACAAGTTCATTCCTGGAGTGCCAAAACCCAGCAGAGCATCTGGGATGGGCCCAACCTTCATTGTCACCCCAGTGAACACAAGGAGTCACAGCAGCGCTGGCTCATGTTTGGTGCCTGCCCAACCACAGCTGCCAGGCAGTTTCGGAGCCCAGGTGGGATGGCCAGCATGGACTGAGAAGGCAAGGACAACACAGGGCAAAATCATCTTTGAAGCCACCGTGGTCATCAGTGGCTGCTGCACCAGGAAGACAACCGAGAGGAGCAACACGAAGGGATTATTTTGTGTGTTTGTAAAAAAGGCTTGTTAATAACAGTGCCTGCTCCCACCCAATCACAAATTAACAACTAGTAGAATTTACAAATGCACTAGTTCTTCTCAAGTTCAAGAAGAGTCTGCACAATCCAGATACTGGAATAGCCCAGTTTATTGAAAAAAATCCAAAGAAGGATGGGGATTGCTGAAGGCACTAACTAGAGGGCATTAATATCTATATTAAGGCACTAACCACACTTTCCCTATACCTATGGTAAATTCAGTAACTACTGGGTGCTAATATCTACATAGTAAACACACTGCTTATGGGAGATTAATAAATATAGTAAGAGCATTAATTACTGAGTACTAATATATACTGCACTAACTGAATGCACTAACTACGGGAGGTTTATATATACAGGGTCTGTCAAGAGGCCCCACAGGCACAGCTCTGTGCACCAGGATCTCTTTCACTGGCTGTAGATCAGCAGTTGAGGCAATTGTGGTCCTGCACGGCCTTCCTGTGGGTATCTGGACTTCTGGCCAGGTGCTCAAGGACGTTGGGTGCTACAGCCACCTGGAAGCCGGAGGGCAAGCTGATCTCCGTAGGAAAGCTCGCATTGCCGATGACAAAGTGGTGAAGCTGTTTTATCTCCAGTGAGCAGCGGAGGGACTTCAGGATAGCCATCACTCGCTGCCCAAAATCACTCCTGCCCCACCCTGTCAGGGGTACAGTGCTCAGGAGGTGTGTCACCACTGTCATCAGGACACAGCTGGAGAAACCCACACCCATCAGGAAGCCCGTGAGGAGCTGCAGCCTGGGAGACCTGTCTGGAAATGTGCCTGAAGAATTTTGCCTCTGCCACGGCATAAGTCTCCAGCCACGTTGTGCTTGGGATGCCTACTTCTGTAGGCTGGCTGCTCACAAAGACATCTGAGTCTCCTTGCCGCACGGCAAAGAACATCTCAACCGTGAAGCTTTCCTTGTCTTTGCTCAGCTGAAATTTGCAGGAGCGGCTGGAGGGCTGCAACCTTAAACGCCAGTGGCACGATTCAGGCAACAGCAGCCAGGCGACTCTCACAAATCCATAGAACCAGTGGACAGTTTTCTCCACATCTAGACAGCAGCCGGTGCACAGGGTGTGCAGGAGGCTGGGGTCCTGTTTCCTTCTCAGCTCCTCCTCGGGGTGGTGGAGGAAACACAGCATGTCCTCCTCCAGCCTCTCCCTCCTGCAGGTGCACACCCGCTCCACACGGACACAGAAGTTCCTCTGGACCCCTCCTGCAGTGTCCAGCTCCAGGTGGAAAGCATGTCCTGGAGGGGGACTCAGGGGAACAAGCAAACGGTGCACAACATCTTGTGCATGGGGACCGCAGCCTTCAAAGGCGCTGCCAATGCCCATGGCTGGTTGTGGCACCGGGTAGAAACTGTTGGACAAGCCTTCTCCAAAGACGTGGATGAGTTTGTCCACCAGGTCCGCGATCATGGAGAATCCTTTGTCCAGATCCAGAACAGGAAACTCCTCTATGCGCTCCTCTAAAAGGCTTCCAAGCTTCCTTTGCACATTGTTACTGTCTTCTTCTCCATTTGCCATCTCCTGCTTGTCATCGACATTGCCCTCTTCCACATTTCCAACAACGTTCCGTCTTTCTTCCTCCTCCACCAAGTTGCTGCTGGACCTCTCCTTGTGGCCACCTTTGTCTCGATCACATCGACTTTTCCCATGCCCAAACCACAGCACCAAGAGAAGCATGAGGATTCCACTCAGAGCCACGAACTGCCACCCAGGCAGGGCTCCCCAGGCCCCACCACTCTGCTCCAGCTTCATCTGCTCCAGCTCCTGAATCAGCTGAGTCATCTGCTGCTCCAGATACTCAGCACGCTGCTGCATGCGCTCCAGGGTGGCCTCATCCAGCCCATCCCCGGCCTGCTGCGGGTACTGGGTGAGGCCTTGCACAAGCAAGAGAAGGAATGTAATGGCAAACATGGCCAAAAGCAGTGAGCAGGGCTTCAGTGGGGAAGGGAGGGAGCTACTGCTAGGGCAAGAGGGGACAGGAGCCCCAGGGATCTCAAGGCAGGACAGAGGGGGCCCAGGGGCTGGCAGCCTGCCAGGCCTGTGCCGCTGCCCCAGCACCGGCACAAAGGGTCTGGACAAAGGCCCTGCCACCAGAGACGGGCCTCTGGATGCCCACTGAGAAGCCGCTCCCCGAATACTCGCGTTTCTGCCGTGGGCCTCTCTCCGCGTTCAGCACAGCCTCCTGTCTGCGTGGACACTCGCCGCTCGCCGAGGCTGCACTGGGGCAGCGTTACCTGCTGCTCCTCCTGGCAGCTGCCCCCATTGTCACACTGCGGCTGTGATGTCACACATGCCAGTGTGCATCCGGGCCAGGCCTACCCCGCCTTCCATCTCTACCGCACCTCTGGGAATCCTAATGGCCCCTGGCAAGCAAAGACCTGACATGCAAAAACAGCAGTCCCATGGGTCACAATGGACACCCTTGCTCTTCCCTTCACAAAATATTTAGGAGGCCTCAAAGCCTTCCTAATCGCAAAATTGGTAACATGACCATGAATGCTTTGTTCCTGGAAGTCTTCTGCTCAGAGATAGAACTGCTTGCCTTGCTGCTGACATGTGTGCTTTTGGGGTCACTCTTGGAACCTGTGTGACGCCCCTGGGTGTGTACTGGTGAATGGCCTGGAAGTGACATGGGGCTTCCCCATAGCAGGATCTCACTTCCTGCTGTGCCACGGCCAGAGGACCTTGATTCCCTGGAGACGCTTCGTAAGGATGATGAGCAGCTGTGGGGGAGGTGATTTCCAGCAGGCAATTCTCACTGCCGACACAGCACAACAGCACAGCGTTCTGCATGTGCAACAAGTTCATTCCTGGAGTGCCAAAACCCAGCAGAGCATCTGGGATGGGCCCAACCTTCATTGTCACCCCAGTGAACACAAGGAGTCACAGCAGCGCTGGCTCATGTTTGGTGCCTGCCCAACCACAGCTGCCAGGCAGTTTCGGAGCCCAGGTGGGATGGCCAGCATGGACTGAGAGGGCAAGGACAACACAGGGCAAAAATCATCTTTGAAGCCACCGTGGTCATCAGTGGCTGCTGCACCAGGAAGACAACCGAGAGGAGCAACACGAAGGGATTATTTTGTGTGTTTGTAAAAAAGGCTTGTTAATAACAGTGCCTGCTCCCACCCAATCACAAATTAACAACTAGTAGAATTTACAAATGCACTAGTTCTTCTCAAGTTCAAGAAGAGTCTGCACAATCCAGATACTGGAATAGCCCAGTTTATTGAAAAAAATCCAAAGAAGGATGGGGATTGCTGAAGGCACTAACTAGAGGGCATTAATATCTATATTAAGGCACTAACCACACTTTCCCTATACCTATGGTAAATTCAGTAACTACTGGGTGCTAATATCTACATAGTAAACACACTGCTTATGGGAGATTAATAAATATAGTAAGAGCATTAATTACTGAGTACTAATATATACTGCACTAACTGAATGCACTAACTACGGGAGGTTTATATATACAGGGTCTGTCAAGAGGCCCCACAGGCACAGCTCTGTGCACCAGGATCTCTTTCACTGGCTGTAGATCAGCAGTTGAGGCAATTGTGGTCCTGCACGGCCTTCCTGTGGGTATCTGGACTTCTGGCCAGGTGCTCAAGGACGTTGGGTGCTACAGCCACCTGGAAGCCGGAGGGCAAGCTGATCTCCGTAGGAAAGCTCGCATTGCCGATGACAAAGTGGTGAAGCTGTTTTATCTCCAGTGAGCAGCGGAGGGACTTCAGGATAGCCATCACTCGCTGCCCAAAATCACTCCTGCCCCACCCTGTCAGGGGTACAGTGCTCAGGAGGTGTGTCACCACTGTCATCAGGACACAGCTGGAGAAACCCACACCCATCAGGAAGCCCGTGAGGAGCTGCAGCCTGGGAGACCTGTCTGGAAATGTGCCTGAAGAATTTTGCCTCTGCCACGGCATAAGTCTCCAGCCACGTTGTGCTTGGGATGCCTACTTCTGTAGGCTGGCTGCTCACAAAGACATCTGAGTCTCCTTGCCGCACGGCAAAGAACATCTCAACCGTGAAGCTTTCCTTGTCTTTGCTCAGCTGAAATTTGCAGGAGCGGCTGGAGGGCTGCAACCTTAAACGCCAGTGGCACGATTCAGGCAACAGCAGCCAGGCGACTCTCACAAATCCATAGAACCAGTGGACAGTTTTCTCCACATCTAGACAGCAGCCGGTGCACAGGGTGTGCAGGAGGCTGGGGTCCTGTTTCCTTCTCAGCTCCTCCTCGGGGTGGTGGAGGAAACACAGCATGTCCTCCTCCAGCCTCTCCCTCCTGCAGGTGCACACCCGCTCCACACGGACACAGAAGTTCCTCTGGACCCCTCCTGCAGTGTCCAGCTCCAGGTGGAAAGCATGTCCTGGAGGGGGACTCAGGGGAACAAGCAAACGGTGCACAACATCTTGTGCATGGGGACCGCAGCCTTCAAAGGCGCTGCCAATGCCCATGGCTGGTTGTGGCACCGGGTAGAAACTGTTGGACAAGCCTTCTCCAAAGACGTGGATGAGTTTGTCCACCAGGTCCGCGATCATGGAGAATCCTTTGTCCAGATCCAGAACAGGAAACTCCTCTATGCGCTCCTCTAAAAGGCTTCCAAGCTTCCTTTGCACATTGTTACTGTCTTCTTCTCCATTTGCCATCTCCTGCTTGTCATCGACATTGCCCTCTTCCACATTTCCAACAACGTTCCGTCTTTCTTCCTCCTCCACCAAGTTGCTGCTGGACCTCTCCTTGTGGCCACCTTTGTCTCGATCACATCGACTTTTCCCATGCCCAAACCACAGCACCAAGAGAAGCATGAGGATTCCACTCAGAGCCACGAACTGCCACCCAGGCAGGGCTCCCCAGGCCCCACCACTCTGCTCCAGCTTCATCTGCTCCAGCTCCTGAATCAGCTGAGTCATCTGCTGCTCCAGATACTCAGCACGCTGCTGCATGCGCTCCAGGGTGGCCTCATCCAGCCCATCCCCGGCCTGCTGCGGGTACTGGGTGAGGCCTTGCACAAGCAAGAGAAGGAATGTAATGGCAAACATGGCCAAAAGCAGTGAGCAGGGCTTCAGTGGGGAAGGGAGGGAGCTACTGCTAGGGCAAGAGGGGACAGGAGCCCCAGGGATCTCAAGGCAGGACAGAGGGGGCCCGGAGGCTGGCAGCCTGCCAGGCCTGTGCCGCTGCCCCAGCACCGGCACAAAGGGTCTGGACAAAGGCCCTGCCACCAGAGACGGGCCTCTGGATGCACACTGAGAAGCCGCTCCCCGAATACTCGCGTTTCTGCCGTGGGCCTCTCTCCGCGTTCAGCACAGCCTCCTGTCTGCGTGGACACTCGCCGCTCGCCGAGGCTGCACTGGGGCAGCGTTACCTGCTGCTCCTCCTGGCAGCTGCCCCCATTGTCACACTGCGGCTGTGATGTCACACATGCCAGTGTGCATCCGGGCCAGGCCTACCCCGCCTTCCATCTCTACCGCACCTCTGGGAATCCTAATGGCCCCTGGCAAGCAAAGACCTGACATGCAAAAACAGCAGTCCCATGGGTCGCAATGGACACCCTTGCTCTTCCCTTCACAAAATATTTAGGAGGCCTCAAAGCCTTCCTAATCGCAAAATTGGTAACATGACCATGAATGCTTTGTTCCTGGAAGTCTTCTGCTCAGAGATAGAACTGCTTGCCTTGCTGCTGACATGTGTGCTTTTGGGGTCACTCTTGGAACCTGTGTGACGCCCCTGGGTGTGTACTGGTGAATGGCCTGGAAGTGACATGGGGCTTCCCCATAGCAGGATCTCACTTCCTGCTGTGCCACGGCCAGAGGACCTTGATTCCCTGGAGACGCTTCGTAAGGATGATGAGCAGCTGTGGGGGAGGTGATTTCCAGCAGGCAATTCTCACTGCCGACACAGCACAACAGCACAGCGTTCTGCATGTGCAACAAGTTCATTCCTGGAGTGCCAAAACCCAGCAGAGCATCTGGGATGGGCCCAACCTTCATTGTCACCCCAGTGAACACAAGGAGTCACAGCAGCGCTGGCTCATGTTTGGTGCCTGCCCAACCACAGCTGCCAGGCAGTTTCGGAGCCCAGGTGGGATGGCCAGCATGGACTGAGAGGGCAAGGACAACACAGGGCAAAAATCATCTTTGAAGCCACCGTGGTCATCAGTGGCTGCTGCACCAGGAAGACAACCGAGAGGAGCAACACGAAGGGATTATTTTGTGTGTTTGTAAAAAAGGCTTGTTAATAACAGTGCCTGCTCCCACCCAATCACAAATTAACAACTAGTAGAATTTACAAATGCACTAGTTCTTCTCAAGTTCAAGAAGAGTCTGCACAATCCAGATACTGGAATAGCCCAGTTTATTGAAAAAAATCCAAAGAAGGATGGGGATTGCTGAAGGCACTAACTAGAGGGCATTAATATCTATATTAAGGCACTAACCACACTTTCCCTATACCTATGGTAAATTCAGTAACTACTGGGTGCTAATATCTACATAGTAAACACACTGCTTATGGGAGATTAATAAATATAGTAAGAGCATTAATTACTGAGTACTAATATATACTGCACTAACTGAATGCACTAACTACGGGAGGTTTATATATACAGGGTCTGTCAAGAGGCCCCACAGGCACAGCTCTGTGCACCAGGATCTCTTTCACTGGCTGTAGATCAGCAGTTGAGGCAATTGTAGTCCTGCACGGCCTTCCTGTGGGTATCTGGACTTCTGGCCAGGTGCTCAAGGACGTTGGGTGCTACAGCCACCTGGAAGCCGGAGGGCAAGCTGATCTCCGTAGGAAAGCTCGCATTGCCGATGACAAAGTGGTGAAGCTGTTTTATCTCCAGTGAGCAGCGGAGGGACTTCAGGATAGCCATCACTCGCTGCCCAAAATCACTCCTGCCCCACCCTGTCAGGGGTACAGTGCTCAGGAGGTGTGTCACCACTGTCATCAGGACACAGCTGGAGAAACCCACACCCATCAGGAAGCCCGTGAGGAGCTGCAGCCTGGGAGACCTGTCTGGAAATGTGCCTGAAGAATTTTGCCTCTGCCACGGCATAAGTCTCCAGCCACGTTGTGCTTGGGATGCCTACTTCTGTAGGCTGGCTGCTCACAAAGACATCTGAGTCTCCTTGCCGCACGGCAAAGAACATCTCAACCGTGAAGCTTTCCTTGTCTTTGCTCAGCTGAAATTTGCAGGAGCGGCTGGAGGGCTGCAACCTTAAACGCCAGTGGCACGATTCAGGCAACAGCAGCCAGGCGACTCTCACAAATCCATAGAACCAGTGGACAGTTTTCTCCACATCTAGACAGCAGCCGGTGCACAGGGTGTGCAGGAGGCTGGGGTCCTGTTTCCTTCTCAGCTCCTCCTCGGGGTGGTGGAGGAAACACAGCATGTCCTCCTCCAGCCTCTCCCTCCTGCAGGTGCACACCCGCTCCACACGGACACAGAAGTTCCTCTGGACCCCTCCTGCAGTGTCCAGCTCCAGGTGGAAAGCATGTCCTGGAGGGGGACTCAGGGGAACAAGCAAACGGTGCACAACATCTTGTGCATGGGGACCGCAGCCTTCAAAGGCGCTGCCAATGCCCATGGCTGGTTGTGGCACCGGGTAGAAACTGTTGGACAAGCCTTCTCCAAAGACGTGGATGAGTTTGTCCACCAGGTCCGCGATCATGGAGAATCCTTTGTCCAGATCCAGAACAGGAAACTCCTCTATGCGCTCCTCTAAAAGGCTTCCAAGCTTCCTTTGCACATTGTTACTGTCTTCTTCTCCATTTGCCATCTCCTGCTTGTCATCGACATTGCCCTCTTCCACATTTCCAACAACGTTCCGTCTTTCTTCCTCCTCCACCAAGTTGC